TTCTGCCTAGCAACAGTTACTGTGCCTAGCAATTTGCTACAGCGTCTGTCGAGTTTCACTCCCCTCTATTTCTTATTGTAAGTTTCGCGCGTATTTACAAACCGTACATGCGATATAATATGTACAGCGGACGACCAGAGGTGGTTGGAAGCCCTTCCCGGCATGCATTGTAACTCATTAATATTATCGATTTCCCGGGACGCGCCGTCATTGTTCGACTAGCTCTCGTTGTGTTCACTACTCAATTTACAAGGAGCGGTATTCAAAAGTACAAATTGAAAATTGTAAATCATGGCGAATTTTCGTACTGTTCGTGGCAACAAAGCTACTGATTTGGATGGACGTGACAATCTTTATGTACATTGTGTGTCGAAAGAGTGACTGGAGCCGCTGAAGGGATGTCGAACTTCTAGTTTTATGGATAACGACAACATTTGGCGTAAAAGTTGACTTATTATATGTTCGCCGAATGCGATAGTCTTTCATTGATAGAAATCTATTCTAGTTGTGACCTTAAGGTACGATTATTTTATGATTTAATTGGTGGGAAAATGGGCCATTTATACTCGGAAATCATACAAGACTACAAGTATTTGACTTTATGAGTTTATGTCAAATGAGTCAAATCTATTTTAATATCATAAAAGCAGGGAGGAGGGGCAAGGGGGGCAGAAGTGCACTTTGTGTTATTGAAATTCTGCCTGCTAAATCTTATCTCCAGTTTTGGGCAAAGTCATGAGGTGTGAACTTGAATAGTTGAATGTGACCTGATTAAGTGTGTTTGTGCAGTTATAGTTCCTTGAGTAGACTTTATTTCCAGAACACAGAACAGCTATCGTCAATGGAACATGCACAATCAGGCTTTCATTGGCAAGTCAACACATAATTGTAGGTCTAAAAAGGTGCCCTTGCCTTTTTATTGTTCCAACGTCCCTGTATAAATGCATCAAATCTTTTTTTACCTGTAGTACTTATGTTGTGTTCTGTTGTGGGAGTTTAACCTTATTCCATCACCAACTTCTGTAACAATCTGACCACCCAAGCTGGATATTTTAGAGGATATACCGAATGACCTACCACTGGTGAATTTGGATGAGCCATTGTTATGCAATTGCATTAAGCAGCCATTAAATCCTATGTGTTTAGTTAAAATTCATGGTGAAGAGATGCCTGGTGATGTGGAAAGTATTGGTGCAGAAGGTGGAGTTGCAGACATGGACAAGATTGATGAAATTCAGCAGTTGACCCAATTATTGGGTGTGGGACAGGCTACTGATGATGCTAATTGCTAAATACATGAATGATTCAAGCTCTGATTAGCAGGATGGAGACAAGGATTCTAAAGGACAAGGATTGTGGAGGAGACACATTGTATCCTGAGAATTAAGACAAGGATTGTGGAGGACACTTTGCATCCTGAGAAGTTTGTTGTAGCTGGTTGCTGGCGAGAACAAAGATACCATGCAACTTGTGATAATCATGGATAGATGATCAAAAAATCTCAAGTTGAAATTTAAAGTAGAACATGAGCAAGACATTTTTAGTTGAGATTTTCATATAAATTTATTCCTATTAAAACACTGTTATTATTTCAGGTAAATATTTGACATTAGTATTTTTGCACAAGTGAACATAATTAACAAATGCTACAAGGTGATTGGTCAAATTTGACGTATTAATCTGTTATATTATAACAAAATCAAAATTTTCAAAATGGCGGCTAGCTGTTTTGTTGAAGTTAGTAATAAAGAAATAAGCAAAATTAAAATGAATTCAGACCAGAAAAATACAATAAAACTTGTGCAAAAATACTAAAACAATTATTCGCCTCAGGCTCTGTGGTTATCTGGGAATATTCACCTCGGCAAATATTCCCCGATAATCACCTCGCCTTCGGCGAATAATTGTTAAATATAATTTTACCATTCCTTTTTGAAATAAATAAATGTTTTCAAACTCAATTTGCTGTGTTTGTTTACTGCAGTCATCAAATCCCTACTTTATCTTATGGTCCACCTTGTGCATGTGTTCTTAACACTGTTTTAATTTAACTGTTGTATATTTAGCACAGATGGGTCACTGATCTAAATATGGATCCAGTATTATGTGGTAGGGAGGGTGCTCTGCCAGCTCTGGTGCCGAGTTGTGTCAGTCATGTGCGCCACCCACCCATCAAAATACTTGACTACAGCAAAGTCTTGCTTGACTACAGTATTGTAATTGTTGTTAACAAACAGTTTACTTATCATCATGTTATTACTCAAATTACTCATTTTGTCTCTAATATTTTTTGCTTTATCATGAAAATACCCCCCCCCCTGCATACCCTCTGGCCAGGGCTAGGTGGGGGGTGCACACACCCCAGTAAATCCACCCCTGATATTGGTCATATAAATGCAGTGGTCATACATAATTGATGTTAATAAAATGCTTTATTCAAAGTTACAATATATAAAGTAAATACTTAAGATTCATTGCAACATTTTCATGTCACCAATACACCAATATTTACATGTAAAATGTCTACTAAAATATGTATCTGTTAAAAGGCTGGTATGGGCAAATTTATATAACAGCTAGGTTGCTCTTATTATTCTGGTTCAATAGTTTCATTGCTTGAATCAGTTGAATGGATCATGAGCACAACTTGGCTGGATTAGATGTTATACCATTTGCCAAAGCAGGATGTAGGAACAGTTCAACTGCTCAATAACAGTTCTAAATCAGCATTAAATTCATAAGTTCAACTTTTCCCATATTTAGGATCAAGTACAATATAAACAACATTGCCATCATCAGATTCCATTTTCACAAAATATATACGAATTCTATAAAAATAATGGTAAAATACAGTGTATTTAACTTAAATGCAGCAGTTAAACTCAACAACGATCAACATATATGCACATGCTTCGAAACAAAACAAAAATAATGACTCGTACAGTAATTTTCCTCGCGCCATAATTCCCATGCGGCCGACTATTCCCGCGATGGGCGACATAGTATACCGAAAACGCCCCATTTTCAAACCGCGATTACTCGTCAGTTTGATGGGGACAATTCATTTTTTAAACTTCTCATAGAAAGAACAACTCTTCCTGAATACGATGGCGTGTCTTTTATTTAATTTACTCATTTATAAACCCAATTGTCCCCAGCGGTTTTGAAAGCCACTTTTGACACTTGTGCATTAACCCGGAAAACAGGTCAATCCAAATTGCGATTAACATATAACTAAACGTTTTTAAAACACCAAATAAAGCAAAAATCGTTAATTTGACTCGTATTTAAAACAATTATAAAAACTTACCTTCAAAAATACGAACTTTTCGTGGCGAAATATCGAAATAAATATCCACAACTTTTCCAACTAACCGTTGTGAAAAATCATGATTGTGAATATTAATGAGCTGCAATGCATGCTGGGAAGAGCTTCCACCCTCCTCTGACCACAGAATAAGACACAGAAGGACCCTGGCCGCCATCTTCCTAGCCAGTCGATTACATTTTCTGGCCAATATTAAACGCGCTGTATTGACTGAAGGCCCCGCCTTCTCGCCAGTCAACTGCATATTTTTGCCAGAGGAGGTTGGACAGCAGGCCGCAAAGCACCATGGGTATTGAGCACCTAATTCCACGCGTGGCTTTCATTGACTGTTGACTGTCAAGGAGTGAACATCTCTGACTACAAAACCAATATGGAAGCTTTCGAACGACAAGAGTGTCAGGCTGTGATATTTTGTGAAAACAGCATGTTATTGCTTTATTGTTGCGATCATCATATTTATGACTTGTGTTTTAGTCTATCAAGTTTACCTTTTTTTAAAACAAGCGCAGTATTTAAGGTTGGTATACTACAATGTATTACAGTTATCGTGTTATTTTATAGTCAAATTTCCGCTTTGTTGTTTTTATTCTTGTACTTTTAATATAAATACACTGTACAAAATTATGGCGTCATACTTGTGTTTACAATGCCTCTAGTGTGACCCTATTGTGTGTGTATATGTACTGTGTCACTGTGATACATATGTACATGTTTTGAGTTAAACGAATTGTTTAATAAATTTTTGCTGAAGTATGATGCCTGTTTGTATGGATAGATTTTTACATATATGTGCATACAGTATAGTTATATTTTTCAATTTTCATCTGTAAAATAATATTTGTGTATTGTTCTAATATTACTGTAAATAGTGACACACTTTTGCATTAGATTGCTAATTTTAGAGATTACAGTGTATGTATAAAATAATAAAATAAAAATTTTCTTGTTATGATTTTGTAGAAAGAGATCTACTTGAGTGGTTCAGTGGTTAGCTGGTCTTGAACCTGGTCAGGATGGATATGGTAATGAAGGTGATAGGGCAGAAAGTGGTGACCAGTTAAGTGATCAGGATGAAAGTGACGAGGACGAAATCACCCATGCTGTGCCATTCAAGTGCATTGGTGCTGCTCATGAGAAACATTACCAAGATCATTTGTAACAGGCATGCCTTGCTATTCATGGACAAGATAAACCAGTGAATGTAAGAATACGGCCAATTGAGCCATTGAATCCAATGGACCCAAATGCAATAGCAATTAATGTAAACTATGGAACTGGATGGACACATGTGATGTTGGCTATATTATTTGCACCCACTAATTGCTGCATGAGATATCTTAGAGGTCTATGTTCAGCATATAAAGTATAGGGTTGACTTTTTTAAAATAGGATTTTATTCAAAATTTTTTATAAAGCGATGTGGTGAGTGGGAGACTCAAGTGGTAAGGAGGGGCATGAGTGTATGTCGACAGATGTTTGTGATATAATAGTAACTGACTAGGTTTAGCAAGTTATAGAAATGATGTTATTTAAATTGGCTAACTTTTTAGATTTTTTCAGCATTTTTACCTTTCACTTTATTGCCAAACAAAAATCATTTAAGTAGGTGTGTATCTATAAGAAAACAATATCTGTCATGTGCACTTGTGCAACTCCCTCAAAATAGCAATATTGCTTTTTTATTGTGGCATAAATTTATTACTAGGACACCAATATGGTTCTCATTACCTATATCTAAACTTAAAAAAACATGTGCTATAAATAAATGCATCTACCTATTTCGTGACTGAATAGAATTTATTTTGTCAAGCCATGTAATTAATTTTGAAATTGCTGTGACTTTATGTAACCCTTCTGCAGGAATTGAGCCTAAAGCACCAACCCATCCCCAACAATAAAATTACATCTTACTGTCAATTTCAATTTGTCTTTGAAATCTGACCACCAATGTTTATTTGTAAGTTCGGAATGTATGTTGTTAAGTTTGACTGCAGTTCGTTTTAAAGTTGGTTCTGTGAAAATCGGGCTGAATTGAATTTAAATGGTTTTTATTTCTAGTCAAAATATGGGTCTCTATTTACTTGTTTCTATATGTATACACCTGTTGACTCTGGATGGTCTTCAGAAGTATCAAATAATGTACCTGCATGCCATTATAAATGCTTCCTCCTTTAACTTAATAATAGTGTTCATGCATACTAAAAAACCAAACATGGTGAATTATACTACAGGTATATACAATAAATGTACCAGCCAGGGTGTTAAAACTGGCTTGTCCATAAAATACTGTGGGTGATGTGTGGCAACTTACACGGTGCTTGAAATGAATTGTCACATGCTGACAATTCAGCATCTTTTCAACAAGAATTATCGAAACATATGAAGTAGATAATGTAAACAGCAGCTGACAACTTTTGAGGTATTCAAGAAATATCACAAAGCTTGCAAGTTGCTGTTTAATAAAGAAAACAATTTCTTTAAACGTCATCCATGGCCATCTAGTTAAAAAGTGGCTGACGTCTAATTTCAAGCGTGGCTGGTGCAAAATCTACACTACTATAACAAACATAATTTAATTATTTATTAATGTCAATAAATTTGAACAAATATGCTCAAGTATTAATTAAATATGATACAGTACATGTATGCAGGGATGGATCCAGCATGATCTGGTAGGGGGGTGCTCTGGTGCCAACTGCCGAATTGTGTCGGTCATGTGTGCCGCCCACCCATCAACTGCTGTATTTGAATTGTAATTGTTGTTCACAGTTCACTTATCATCATGTTATTACTCAAATTATTGTATCTCATTTTGTCTTTTTTGCTTTATCATAAAAAATAGCAACCCCCCCTGGCCAGGGGTGCACACCCCCCCCCAGTAAATCCATCCCTGCATGTATGTGCACTTTCTATATTGTGCTCAGGTATTTGGTGGAGCATGTTGTTGGCCACGTTGAGGGATCACAGCTCAATTTGTATTCACCAATAACTTTCAGAAAGACATCATAAAGGACAAGAGATACTATAATCTATACTAGTAATCCATGCTAAAATGTCTTCATTCTTCAACATCATCAGTTGGCCCTGCCCTTGGATGTTCAGGAAGAAGCCCTTTTTCAATTCTATATCGACATCTGAACTGCTGTAATTAAAAAGGAACATAGAATTTTTCACTGTGAGAAAATCTGATCACTTTATAATGTGCTGTTCTTTTAAAATCGTCTCACCACCAGACAATTTCACTTGCCAAGGAGATAGACATGCATGTTGAGGAGATGGGCATGCAGGCTAGTAATACCAGCCCAGATATAAAATCTGTAAAAACAGGCAAATAACTCCTAAGTCTTCTAAATAGTCTTTCAAAAGTAATTTAACACTTACTGTAAAGAAAAATGATCCTAATATTGGGGGACTTTCAAAATTCAATGTGAAAACCAAGCTTTGGTGGCGCAATATCTTCCCCAGATATTAGACGCCATTTTGGCAAAGGTTGAATTGAGTATGGTCACTTCAATGCCAAATATCTCGATAACTGCCGGGGGATCCCGGGGATCCCTCCAGCAGATTTTTAGTTTAGACATTTGTCTTGACTTTTTTGCAAAAATTACGAAAATCGAACCATGGGAATTCCAGATTTTTTAGTTTGAAAATTGTAAACAGACTCGGACTTGAGTCATCACGTTGCCACGGCACGACCAACTTTGATCATCGAAAACAGGTTAAAAAATAACGTTTACCTCAGAAATTCTTGCACATATCGCCAGTCCTTTTATAATACTAAGGCCATGGTTGCATTTTGATAGAAAAATTTGAATATTTATATATATTTTTTGAGTTCTTCTGTGTCCAATGCGAATTTGACGGCCAAAAATCTTCGCCAACACGATGGAAAATAGAGCGATCTCATTGGTCGAGAGCTCACGTGACAACTCGCTAATTAGGTGTCCAACCAGAGGAGGTTGGACAGCAGGCCGCAAAGCATCATGGGTATTGAGCGCCTAATTCGACGCGTGGCTTCATTGACTGTTGACTGTCGAGGAGTGAAGAGCTCTCTGACTAAACAAATATGGAAGCTTTCGAACGACAAGAGTGTCAGATACTCTGTGAAAACAGCATATTGCTGTATTGTTGCGATCCTCATTATGACTTGTGTTTTACTATAGCAAGTTTACCTTTTTTTAAATTGCATGGGACGTGTTGTCATTTTAGCTTTACAAATAATCCGTCTGAGAAAAGGAATTGTGTTTAATTTATATTCCCAATAGCGAGGCTCTTCTTTCTAAGTTGGATGGCGTTAAATCTCTGTGTATCATCAACGTGAAAACAAGCGCAGTATTTAAGGTTGGTATACTACAATGCATTACAGTTATCGTGTTATTTTATAGTCAAATTTCCGCTTTGTTGTTTTTATTCTTGTACTGTAATTTTATAAATACACTGTACAAAATTATGGCGTCATACTTGTGTTTATAATGCCTCTAATTTGACCCTATTGTGTGTGTATATGTACTGTGTCACTGTGATACATATGTACATGTTTTGAGTTAAACGAATTGTTTAATAAATTTTTGCTGAAGTATGATACCTGTTTGTATGGATAGATTTTTACATATATGTGCACTGTGTATAGTTTATACATTGGTTCTCAGATGAGTCTGAAGGTATATTGTTATTCAGTTATTTGTATGTATTGTTTTATACATTTCGCTGAGTATGATGCCTGTTTGTATCTAGTTGTGGATGGTTGTGAGAATATAATTTTAGAGGTTACATGTTTGCTAATTTTAGAGATGATAATGTATCAAATAATAATTTTCTTGTTATTATTTTGTAGAAAGAGATTTACTTGAGTGGTTGGTTGGTCTTGAGCCTGTTCAGGATGGATATGATAATGAAAGAGGTGATCAAGGTGATAGGGCAGAAAGTGATGACGTTTAAGTGAGAAGATGAAAGTGATGAGGAGGAAATCGCCCACGCTGTAGCATTCAAGTGCATCGGTGATGCTCGTGAGAAAAACTACCAACATCATTTGGAAAATTAAATTAAGACATAATACCTCACTCTTCCTGAACAAGATAAAACAGTGAACGTAAGAATATGGCCAGCACCATTGAATCCAAGGGACCAAGGTGCAATAGGCAATTCCAGGTTTTAGTTTATTTTATTAAACTTTTTCAGCATAATCAGCAATATGATACCTTACTGCCTGTTGCCCCCTGCACACATAAATTAAAAGCTGGAATTGCCTATTGACTAGACTATGGAACTGGATGACAACATGTTGGTTATATTGCTTTTCAACTATGCAAGTATTTGCACCCACTAATTGCTGCAGATGTCGTGGATGTCTATTGTCTATGTTCAGTGTATCAAGTATAGGGTTGACTTTTTTAATTAAAAAGGGTGGATTTTTTATTTTTTTTAAAGGAGGGGTGGAAACCTTTCAGGGGGGGGCAAGCAGCACCACTGAGTGAGCTTTTTACAGGGGTTTGGCATTAGGGTTAAAGACTTTTGAAGCAAAATTTTGGTGGGGTTGAACACTTTATAAGAGGGGTTAGAGAGATTCTAAGGGGGGGGGGGTTAACCCCTCCTAACCCCCCCCCCAGTAAATCCGCCCATGATTTAATCCAAAAATTTTCATAATGAAACCTGGTGAGTGGAGACTCAAGTGGTAGGAAAAAGCATGAGTGTATGTTGACAGATGTTTTTATATAATAAATAGCAATTAGCTATGTTTAGCAAGTTATTAGTGCATTTATTTCAATTGGCTAACTTTTTTGTTTTTTCCAGCATTTTTAAACAAACCATATGTTATAAATGATATAACTGGGTATATCTAATTAAACCAATCTGTCATGTACACTCATGCAAATAAGACTAAGTACATAAATAACAACCTCGTACCCAGGGGAGAAAAGACCCTGGTAGATGCTGGTCACATGATCTGCTAAAATCTAGCAGATTTTTAATTAGCAATCCAAGATGAGGTCAATAAATATTTGATATTTGGATGATTTTTATATGTTAATTTATAATTTGCATTTTGTATATGATTGTCATAAAGGAATTCAAGATAGTTAATTAGAAATCTGCTAGATTTTAGCAGATCACGTGACCAGTCATTTTCTCCCCAAGAGGAAGGACTCTGGGTAGGAGGTAGCATAAATAACTGTAAAAATGTACTTTAGTAAATGAATAATTTATCCATACACTTGATCTACTTTGTGAGTATTTTTTCCAATTAAAATTGATGCAACAATAAAACAAGAAGATGTTATTTATATATTTATTAAATTGATCCGAGATCCCACTTAGGGAGTGGTCATTATTTATGGGGAGGGGGGGGTGGTAAATGGGAGGGGAGCAAACAAAGTTTTACCCTTATAAATAGGGGGGGTTCAAAAAAGTTTTAACACAGAGAAAGGGGGTGGTCATAAAAGTTTTTGAACTTAAATACCATGTCTAGAGTTCTGATTTCTATAATCACAAATAGCAAAAAAGAAGACTCTGAAAATGCCATTTCCAATGATCTAGAGACTCAAAATTTTCAAAATTTCTCTGTGCCAACCATGGTAGTGCCTCGTGGGAGTGGTGCCCACTAAGTTTAACAAGCCTCCTACCCCCTGAGTAACCCAGCTGTGGTATTTACATAAACATACCATGCAAGTACACTTAACTGATCAGATTCGGTCTATCAAAGCACAATGTAACACAGACTGTATATCCAAAAACCTGTTTCAGAAAATGCTCACATTTCATGACCACACAAACTTTTTGTCACCAACAACCATCTGTCATCTCTCCACACTCAATGTTCAAACAAGTTCTTAAAAAAAGCCCTGTGTTGAAATCATTTCACTGTATGAAGATGGGCCATGGGTTAGGGTTATGGTCAGACAAATGTTGCATTGCAGTAGTAACACATAATACATATTTTTTGATCATATATGGTTGAATCATATTCACCATGGTAAAACATCATGAGCTAGATTAGCTATTACATGAGCTGTTAATTTTTCAATCCACACTGGGGGGGGGTCAGAAAAGTTTCTACTTTTAAGAGGGGGGAGGCATAAAAAGTTTGCCTTCAGTCTGGAGGGGAGGGGTCAACGAAGTTTTTAATCCTTATTTTCCCCATTTACCAACCCCCCTCCCCATAAATAATGACCACTCCCTTAATTTGTTTATATTAATTACATATGATAATACAATAAAAACTTGTTTTATTGCTTTAAAACAAGTGGAGCTCTCTGATGGTTTGAAATGGGCTGTTATGACACTGATTTGTCCATGCTGAGGATTCCGCAGCTCGATTTGCCCCCAAAACCCATAGATATCTATGCAAAAACCCCAGGATCAGGCGATCAGCTCGTCTTGAAATACGTACACGATCGAGTCGCGTCGGCCAAAGACAACAAAACTTTGAAAATCGCACAGATATAAATTCTACAAAAATATTAAAACAACTCCTAAGTCTTCTAAATAATATTCTAGCACTTTAACAAAAATTCATTGAAAATATCATCTTTGATGGCGCATTTTCTTTCCAAGGTATTAGACGCCATTTTAGCGAACGTCGAGTTGACAATAGTCACTTCAACGGTCAATATCTCGAAAACTGCCGGGGGATCACCGGGATCATTCCAGCAGATTTAAAGCTTATACTTTTGTCTTGACGACTACCAAAAATGAAGAAAATCGAACCATGGGAATTCTAGATATTTCATTTTAAACATCGTAAACATATTTAGACTTGAGTCAACACGTCGCGGGTAGTCGACTAACTTCAAACATCAAAATAACATTGAAAATAAAGTTTACCTCAGAGATTTTTGCAGATATCGCCAGATCTTTAGTAGTAGTACTACAACACTTGAGATTTTGCAAGAAAATTTTAATATTAATATTTTTTTCCGATTTATTTTCCGTCGAATGCAAATTTTTCCGTCCAAATTCTGCAGATAACACGATGGAAAATAGAGCGATCTCATTGGTCGAGAGCTCACGTGACAACTCGCTAATTAGCTGTCCAACCTCCTCTGCTAATTTCGGTTCAACCGTACATGGCCCTTAAGTAGAGTATATTTATTAAGTGTTTGCAATATTTGTGGTATATAATGTAGTCATGAATGACCACATGACCCCACAGGATGAATTCCAATGGCTTCTAAATAGACAATGGATGAAATGTTCATGAATATTGAGCTTTATATATGATTCGGGTTAAATACAATAATTATTAACCTAGCTTTATACAAAATGTACATACATGTTCTAATATAATTGTATTTTGCTTCATACAATGCATATGTGTGTGGAAACATTACATTATTCAGCTCACTCCCCATTGGGGCATTTCAGTCACCGATTACATCAAGTATTATGATTACTTATGTTAGTCTAGACTATTTATCTTTACAACAATATAATGAGAATATGATATTACTTTTCCAGCTGTGTTTATCCCCGAGCCGGCGGCGGTGCGAGGGTACTAATTCCCCCCGGCTATTTACACCCGGGGAAACGAAAGCATTAGCGAAGTCTAAAGTTAATCAATGAGCGCTGGCGTCGGTCACCAACGATGGGTGGTCATCCTCACTGATCTCAAAAATATGGCGGACTGTCATGAATAACGGACACTGATTGGTCCAATTTAAAGTTTGCATTATAACGGCTGCATGACGACAGCGAAATAGCAAACATGCCAAACAAACATTTCTTGATTTGATGAGTTGATGATTGATAAATTTCTTGCAAATATTCTTCATTTTTGCTCGTATTTCTGCAAGATTTTGTAAATTTCAAGAAAGAAAGGGCGAAAGATTCAGCTAAAAGAAGGGAGTCGACGTTAACAAAGGTAAGTTTGTTTTAAATATTGATTTTATAATGGCTTTAAAACCCGACGGCCTTTGCGT